TCGGGGGCCAGGCTGAGATGAACTGGGTTTTAAGGAGAGAAGACCTGCCTGCATGAAAACCCCTTGCATCCCAACACGCCCCTTCCCAGAAATTTCCCTTCACACCTGAAAAGCTGGGCGAACTGAGGCTCGGTAACGAGAGCTGCAGTACCGCCAGAGGACGAAGCACCCGCCTCCATCTTTGGGAATCGGGAGGGAGGAACAAGCAATCAGCGCGGAAGTGGAACTCGGGTTTGAGCGCTAGGGTTTCCGGGGGAGGGGGAAAAGGGTGGGACCCAATGAAAAGGAAGTCGGCGGCGGCGTGTTTCGGCGGCGGGCCGGAAGTCGGCGGCGTGAGTCGCGGCGGGGTAGCCGCGGTGGGCGAAGGAGAGGAAGATGGCGGGATTGTCGGTGCGGGACCCCGCTGTGGATCGGTCTCTGCGCTCCGTGTTCGGTGAGGTGCTGCGCCCACCCGCCACCCTCTCTCCCCGGGGCGGAGAGCCTCCTGCCGTCGCCGCCTTAGCGCGCCCGTGCCCAGCCGAGGGGGACTACAACCCCCATAACCGCCCCTCCCGCCAGCCAAGCTATCTGGTTGAGTGGGATGGGGGATGAAATGAAACACTTCAAAATTGTTTGCTTTATCATTGCTTCTGCATGCTGTGTAGGTCTGGGCAATGTTGGTATTTCACTGTTTCTGATGTAAAGCAACTTAAATTTACTTTTAATTCTCAAAGCCTTTTCCATTTATATTAAGCAAAACCAGCTTCTGATCTGGGTCAGTTCTCTGCCTTGGTTGAGCATCTCCTTTGCCTTACACTAAACTTCCCTAATTGGTGCTCTTAGGTATGTTGGGACTACAATGCCCCAAATTCCCAGCCTTGAAGGGCTTCGCCTTGAGAAAACTCATTTTATCATTGCTTGTAGAGCCACTTCATATGGTACTGTTGTTTATGAGATGGAGAAACAGTCTTATCCAAGAATAGTAGTAATGTAGTAAGAAAGTCTGCTGTGTTACACTTTAACGGGTCAGCTTTAGCACTAAATAGCAAAGCCAATCTGGGGCTTCCAGCTGGATCAAAAAACTATAGAGTAGAAACAGCAGTTACGGAAAACAAAACTTACTAAATTAAGCACATTCTCAATGTAGAGAATGTCCAGCATCCTGAACATCTCAGTACTGTGTATATTTCTCTTTTGTGTCATTGCTGTAATTTTTTTAAAGCATTAAGCAAAGCTTATTCAACTAGTTTTAGCTTAGTTTGTGTCAAAAATGCATGTAATGTACTTCCTGCTTCCTTCAGCAGACAGAGATCTCTAGGATTTGTTTAGAGCAGGAAACTTCACTCTGCTCAGGTCTTCTGGAGTGAAGTAAGTACTTAAAGCCTCTGCAAGGCTTAAGTCATCCATTTTGCCCCTTAACCCCCACCATCGCTGAAAAGAGGGGGGAATGTTTTGGGAAGCACAAAACAGGTGCTGGATATGTTAAGTACTAATAATTGTCAGAACAAATTGAGAATTATGAGAAGAGCTTGGAACATAGTAAAACAAGGGACTGTTACAGAAATCTGACACGTGTGTGTATCATTTATTTTGAAGTTACAAGTCAATTGTTAGTTATCTTAACAGGTGATGCAGAATGAGTGGGAAGCAATATCTTTCCTTGATGGAATACCTCTGTAATCCTATGGATTGTCTGGGTAAACAAGTGCAGTGCACAGTCACTGCACTTGTTTTCATCCCCTTCTTAGCAGAGAACTTGCTTTAAACTGGCCTTTTCCAATCTGGTGCTTTCCAGACAATTGGGCTACAAATCACCAGCCTGCCCTGCCTCAGGAACCCCCCAGATTAGGGATAGCTGTTTTATACCCATCTTTATGTTTTGACTGGTTTTGAATACAAGTATGAAATATTCCAGGAGATTAAGTTCTGGGAAATAAAATGAGTGACTTAGCCCCAGGAAACTGACCTATAAGAAGTAATTATGAGTGGCAAAGGGTTAGGTCTGTGGGCTCATTCAGTTGTTTCTCATCTTGATGAGATTTTTTCATTGTTGCCATGTTCAGCAGTATTTTTCCATTTCTACCTAGGTTTCATAAGGCAGTGGCATAATTTAGCAAAAGTGACAAATGTCACTTTAACTGGCTGTACTAGGCCCGGGGTTGATGTATTATTGTTTGCCTAGGGCCCCTGTTTTGTTTGATTTTTGTTGTCTATAAGATTATTTCTGGGCTGTCCATTTGGTTTGATTTTTTATCTTTTTTTAATGATTTTTCTAGTTTTGTACACTTCCCAGGGTCCATTGGAGTTGGGCGGCTAATAAATCCAAATAAAGAAATAAGTAAACAGCAACATTAACTACAACAAATGACTAATGCAATATGCTTGCTGGCTGTATTAGCTGGAAATAATAGGAATTGTATCTGTGGAAGGCACCGGGTTGGAAAGACTGCCTTCATCTGTTCTTGAAAAGATGCCTGCCTAATTGCAGATATGCCCACAGATATTGATGACCTGCTCCTCTCTTTCTCCTGTAGTGGGGAATATCCCTTACGAAGCCACAGAGGAGCAGCTAAAAGACATCTTCTCAGAGGTTGGACCTGTTGTCAGTTTCCGGTGAGGAGCATGTCTGTTAGAATTCCCTGAAACATGGTTCTTAGGCCTGGAGGATTTAGAAATTGTGGGGAGGAGAAGGGGCAGAAGATGAGGGCTCTAGGTTGAATAATAGAGTGCATGTGTTGGACCACAGTTTCCATTCTTGATGTCTTGGTTAAAATAATTTAACCAGAGGCAATAAGAAAGGCTTCTGTCTCAGAATCTAGATCATCCTTCCCCAACCTGGTGTCCTTCAAATATATCAGATGGATCAGACTGGAGCTTCCAATAGAGAATGGCTACTCTGGAGAACCACTGCAATTCATCTGGAGGGATATAGCATACCCTATTCTGGCTTAGACATACAGTCCAACACGTATAAAGTAATTTCCTTTGTGAGATGGGATCACCCATTAGTTTTAATTCTGATGTTCTCATTACCAGCACCTTCCTTCTCTCTCTTTTGGAAACATTCTACCTGGTTATTTTCCCAGGTATAACTGTCTTGGTTTTCTCTGCTCTGCCAACCAGATTGGTATATGACAGAGAGACGGGCAAACCAAAAGGCTATGGCTTTTGTGAGTATCAAGACCAAGAGACAGCACTCAGTGCCATGCGGAATCTCAATGGGCGTGAATTTAGTGGAAGAGCACTGCGTGTGGACAATGCAGCCAGTGAGAAGAACAAGGAGGAACTCAAGAGTGAGTCTGAAAGCCCATCAGAAGATTGGGGGGGGTGTGTGCAGGTGAAGCCGTGGCTGTGATTCTGTGCTGTTTACAGCATGCCTGATCAATGATCCTTGGCCCTAAGGTTTTTCTTTATTTCTCTGCTAGGCCTGGGCACTGGTGCTCCCATCATAGAGTCGCCCTACGGAGACCCCGTGAACCCCGAAGATGCTCCTGAGTCCATCAGCAGAGCAGTGGCCAGCCTCCCTCCTGAGCAGATGTTTGAACTGATGAAGCAGATGAAGGTTGGAGGGCAGGCAATCAGGGGGTCATGGAGGGGGGATGGATTTCCCAGCTGCTTGATTGTCTTGTTAGTTGCAGAAGAGGGAGGGTCCTCTCCTTTACAGTTGGCATGGAAACCAAGCTGACCTTTGGCTGCGAGTCAGAAATCTCATGTCTCTTCTTCTGCCCATCCATTTGATGGAAGCATCTTCATCTCTTTTTACAAGGGAAAAGGGACATACCCTTTGATTAGCGGAAGATGAGAAGTTGGGTTGGAGAATTCCCTCTCTTCTGAAGGAGAGTAGTTGGCTGGGAGTGCAGGGCAGCATATTGGATGCAGAAGAAAAGCATGTGGGAATTGGAAAAAGGAATGAGTCCCTCAGGGGGAGACAGAAATAGACTTTTTCATCTGAGCAGATCCTCGCAGAACTAAACACTGTTTTATGCCAGATCAGGCTATTTCTCAAACCCATTAATACCAGTCAGTTCCCAGGCTTCTAGGTAAAAAGTCTGCCTCTTCACCTTTGTATCTGATTGATCTTTTTTCATTAGCAATCACTTGAGACTTTCTAAAGCATCTTTCCCCAACCTGGTGCCCTTGAAATGTGGAGGACTGGGAAGGAGTAGCAGGAGGGGGGAAGAGATCAGATTGGGGAAGGTTGTTTTAAAATTGGAATTTTAACACCTTCTGGATGCTGAGCACATGTCCTGTCTGTCACAAAGTGATGGTTCCGTCCCCCTTAGGGAATACAGTGTGCAAGAAATGAGGTGCTGGAAATATAAATAGAAATATTTATTCAGCTCTCCAAAGAGATGACTTTTCAATATTTGCCTGTGGCTACAAGAGACAGAAATAGCTTTTTCACCCAACCTGAGAATGGATTTGTTTTCTCCTGTCTGAGCTGTCAAAGCTTGAGCTGTGGAGAAACGCTCCAGAAGTTGAGAGATGACAGGTCAGTTGTTATTTGTGTCCCAGATTCTCCCCTTTTCTGTTCTTCCAGCTGTGTGTCCAGAACAGTCCTCAGGAGGCGCGGAGTATGCTCTTGCAGAACCCTCAACTTGCCTACGCCTTGCTGCAGGCCCAAGTGGTGATGCGTATTGTTGACCCGGAGATCGCACTGGTATGTTTGTAACCTTTCCAGCCTTGGGGTAAGAGGCAGAGCCGTGTGCTTTTGTATCTTGAATATCCTTCTGCTACCCTGACAAACACTCACCTTGTTTTTCTCTTTTCTGTCATTCAGAAAATTCTTCATCGCCAAACCAGCGTCCCATCTCTGATTCCTGGAAATGCACAGCCAGGGCCAGGGCAAGGTCCTGGTCCTGGGCCAGGAGCTGGTCCCGGGCCAGGACCTGGGCCAGGACCTGGTCCAAATGCTCAGATGAACCAGCCAAATGTCCCTTCTTCTCAGCCACAACCAATTGTAAGCAGCTGTTGTTTGAGTTGAATCTTTTCCTTCAGTCTGTGTTCCATATCTCTTTTCGGTTTGATAGAGCATTTATTGGTTTGGGGTATATTGTGATTTGCAGATATTCATAGGACACGTCTCTTCCTGCTTGTTGTTGTTGTTGCTAAAGCATAATAATAAAATGGTACAATAATAATCACCCAACAAAGGTTGTAAGTACAAACATATTAGCCCATTATTGGTAAGTAAATTAAAATAGATGGGAAAGTGATAGAATC